AGAAGTTCGAAAGCAAGAAATTGCAAGTAGATAAATAGGTACCACTTCAGTGGGAAGGTAACAGCGTTCTGTGTGCCTTGGCATTTAGTCATGCCGGCCACATGACCACAGAAGCGTCTTCGGACAGCGCTGGCTCTTCGGTTTGGAAACAGATATGAGTACCGCCCCCTAGAGTCAGATTCGACTGGCTTTCGAGCAAGGGGAACCTTTACCTTTAATTTACTGCTCGCACCCTCTACCTATGGCTGCGATCACACACACACACACTTAATAATCCACTTTCAATCCACTTTCAGTGCACTTTTGAATTGGATTTTGCCAGTTCGCATGGTAAAAATCCAGTTGGAAAGCGCGTTGAAAGTGGGTTGAAAGTAGATGATTTAGTGTGTGTGTGTGATCGCGGCCTATATGCATGGATTGGTAACTTCCATTTCGATGTATCTGAAGAAGTGTGCATGCACGCCAAAGCTTATACCCAGAATAAAACTTTATAGGTCTCAAAGGTGCCACTGGACTAAAATGTTGTTCTGATGCTTCAGGCCAATACGGCTGCCAACCTGAAAGGACCAGGCAGGAGGTGATGTGAAAAACTTCAGCGTGAGACCCTGGAGAGCGGCTGCCAGTTTGAGCAGACAAGACTGACCATGGTGGACCAAGAGGGTCAGATTCAGTAGAAGGCAGATTCATGTGCATCCAGGCTCTTGTTTCCAAATCTGCCTTTCCTTGCTGGACTCTCCCGCTCGAAAAGTGAACCCTCCTTAGTAAACAAGGGTGAGCAAATTCCGGAGCCTGAGGAACCAGTCCTGTTTCCTTCTCACGCCGGTTCCCCGAGTCGGAGGCGGTTTTGGACAGCCTCCTAAATCAGCCCTTTGCCCGTCCCGAGTTCTTGATAGACCAGTATATCTTGAGAGCCAGTTTGGTGTCGTGGTGAAGTGCGCGGACTCTAATCTGGGAGAACCGGGTTTGATTCCCCACTCCTCCACTTGCACCTGCTGGATGGCCTTGGGCAAGCCGTAGTTCTGATAAGGGCTGTTCTTGAAAAAGAGCCGTTTCTGTCAAGAGCTCTCTCAGCCCCACCTACCGCACAGGGTGTCTGTTGTGGGGAGGGGAAGGGAAAGGAGCTTGTAAGCCGCTCTGAGACTCCAAGTGAAGGGCAGGGTATAAATCCAATCTCCTCTTCTTCTTCTTCTTCT